GGGGGGGGGGAATTGCGCTCGGTGGGTCATCTTTCGAGAGAGAGAGAGAGAAATAAACGGGCAAAGGGCTTTACTCGTCCTCTGTCTGAACGCTGCTCACGTTGGAAGGTGCAGCCTTCTTGTGTTTCTTGTAAGCTTCGCATAGTCTGCGCCTGGTTGAGCTAGTCAAAGCTCTAGTGTTGAATCGTACCCTCTGACTTTGAGCCGATTCGTCGCGCACTTGACACATCCTGAGACCTAAACTGTCCATTCCATCCTCGGCATGGTGCATCTCGCTTGTGTATTGTTCGACAATGCTCGAGTCGGAGCAGGAAGGTCGAAGAGAGTTCCTCTGACCCATGATGGGACTGGTAGAGACGTCAAACATGATTGGTCCATCTTGATCATCCTCCTCCTCAGAAAGCGCGTTTCGGTAATTTGGCGCTCCAATTTGTGCATGCGAGCTGGAACGACCCATCATGACCTCGCTGTCAGGTTTATGTGCGTCGTGCACCACGTCAGCTGGCACTAATGGCAGTGGCTTGAGAGAAGATGCAGGCGACTGCGCGTTGAGCGATTCGCTCGAGATCCAAGCAGAACCCTCCCCTTCGTTGCGCAGGAGGCCAAACGGATGACGCGTGTGAAAAGCTGTGCTGCTAATGTCGGATTGCACACACGATTCGAGCGAATCAGACCTCGAACGAGCCCATTGGCGCGGTTCTTGCTGCGATACCGAGCGCGAGTGGCCCCTGTCTTGATCTGCCACACTGGCCACGTCGACGACCGAACTGTTGGCTGATCTGAACGGCAGACCAGCTTGAGAAGCTGCAAACGCGTACCTGCTCAAGCGCCTTTCTCTGAGGGTCAGGGATGTGTAGTCGTCTGGTTTGTTGTAGCGAATGCCGACCGACCCCACGCTAGAGGAGCTGTTGATCCCAGTGCCGGCGTGCGATGGCCTCCAGGTGCGAGACTGAGAGGATGACCGGGGCGCCGTTGTGGACGTCTGATTTGCGCTACGCACCAGCAGGAGTGGCTTCAAGGAATTGCTTTGGCACGTCGAGCCTCTCGATGAAATGGTGTTGCCTCCGAATTTGAAATCGCGCAGACGATCGCCGCGCAGAGCTTGTGCGTATTCGAGCTCCTTCTCCATGTGCTCAGCTACTACAGGTGTCGGCTTGAGGTCCTCACATAGCTCTTCATCATCGAGCGTCTCGGAATAGAAAGCCGGCGCGTCTTTAACCTTGACGTACTTGCCATCGTCCTCGAGCTTCTCCGAGCCGATACCGAGCGCAATGAGGAGGCCCTCGGTTCGCTTAGCTTGAAAAGAGGCTTTTGACAGGGTGGAGTCGAGAGAAGATGTCGACAGCGAAGCGGAGGAGCTGGTATAGACCAGAGGCGGCATGAGTAGGTCCGCTTCGATCGTTGATGCATCGATGACAGGCGTAGGTGGCAAGGGTCGATCATAGGAAGCGAGGCTTCTCAAGGATGCCGCAGGCGAAGACTGTGTAGACGCGACCTTTGGAGCGTTGGCAAGTCTGCGCGTGACCTTTGCGGTCAGCTGTTGTTGCCCGGCGGAGAGCTTGCGCCTGAGGCTGGGCTGATGGCCAGCATGAGCAACCTGCTGTGCAGGCTTCTGTTTACCGAGAGTCATACGGCTAGGTGCAGGTGTAAGCTTCAGGTCCACCTCATCATCGCCAGGCCAATCCTTCAAGAGACCAGCGCCCACGGTGGCAGCTCCCAACCTCGTCGGCGATCTTGCCAGAGGAGTGCAGAGCATGGCAGATGTGGGAGTGCCAAAGGTGCGTGGCTGTCCTTGCGAGATGCTTTGTACGGCAGGCGTGCGATGTTGCAGATGAGCCTTGGGGCGACGTTTGGGGTCAAATGCGAGTCTCAGAGGAGCTGGCATCTTGGAACGAGGCGCTTCGACGACCTGCAGAGTGCTGGGGTAGATCCTCGAGTGACTCTGCTGTTTCCGGTTCGATGGCGACGGACGCGAGACGATGCCGTCTGAAGAGCTCGGAGTAGAGAAAGCCGGAGGTGCCGCGTGCGTGCTGAAGGAAGAGGGTGTCTGAATTGGTGATAACCAAGGGTCGATGGGACTGGGCGGACGATCGAGCATGTCCGAAAATGGCGCTGGCGAGCCGGAGCCGCGCTGACCGTCTACGCGCGGGATTGCAGGCAAAGGAGCCGAGGGAGGTGGAGCTACGATGCGAAGCTTGTCCGAAGGTTGATCGATCGTCTTGATGGCGGTCGAAGCGCCTTGCAATGCAGGAGACCTGGCTTGCGGACTCGATCCGACTAACGCTGAAGCAAACGTCGGTAGTGGTGTACTTGATGCTTCTGCACGAGACGACGCCAACGCTCGTTTTAGATCGCGAATGGAGACGGGAGTCGATGGTTGAGCAGATGGTGATGCGTTGGCAGCGTTGGTCTTTTGTTGAAGTGAGGTAGATGTGGTGCGGCCATGTTGCATGCAAGGTGCAGTCTTGGGCGCGCTGTTGGGGGTCATGGGTACGCTCACCATGTCGTCATCGTCCATCGAAGCTCTGGCAAGTTTTGGCGTTGCGTTTCGAGATTGACGCCTCTTGTGGCCGACGTTGAAGGACAAGCTGAGGCTCTTGCTCTTTCTTCGCGGTGAAGGTGCGTCGCCAGATGCGATGTCCGCATGACGAAAGAACCTTCCGGCCGAGCGCAGTGCGTCAAAGGGAGAGCTGCTGCCATCGTGCGAATCGTAGCGCGTGTCTCTAAAGGTGATCTCTTGAACTTCTTCCACTCCCTCCTCGTCGGAGCTGTCATCGAAGCCAGATTTGGCAGGCAGACGGGCTTGGCGTGGCACAGTGTCCAAAGCCAATTGAAGGGCGGGTGGAATCGCGGCGCGCTTGATTTGCGGTCCAACTGAGCGCCGTGATGCCTTCACAGCAGCCGTGCGAGGTGTGTGGCTGCGCGACGAAAGAGCTTGGAGTGTCAACCTTGATGACCTGACCGAGTCTCCTTGCAGCCAACACAGCGCGGTCGTGCTCACCTCTTGGGACTGACCAACGACTCGCCAGCGCGCGATGCAGCGTTTGCACCTCCGTCACTTTCCATATCAGTGCTGTAGAAGGACCAATTGTCCATACTTGCTCGCGCGCGAGCACTCAACGGCGAAAAGGGATTCTTGATGAACGTCGAAGCATCCGACGGCCATTTGAGCGCAGACGGGACGCTTTCGTCTGCCACACCGTCGCTTGTTCGGCGAGAAAACTTTTTGGTTGCGCCGGCGCCAGAGTGAAATGTGGGCGCTGGTGGTGTCCAGCCAGTCAGCGCTTTTGATTGCACGGGCTTTGGCTTGCCGACTTTGAAATCTGCTGCAGATGAGTGAGGTGTGTGCGAGGTCAGCCTCATGGTGAGGACGATGGTGGGATTTGAGGGCGGGATTGGACGATTTGGTGCTGGTTGGCTGGCTCGCTGCTCAAGTCGTTTGGCGGTTCGAGTGCGATGCTCCCGCTTCAAGCGAGAGTGAGTTGCGACGTGCGAGGGGTGCAGCGTCCTCGTGGCGTGTGCCGGCAGAGACACAGCTTGCTGGGCGATTCAATCGAGAGCGCAAACTTGTTGTGGCGACTTGACCAACGTCGTCGTAGGCGCCTCTGAAAGGTATGGTCCTGTATATATACGTGCGAGCCAGCCTTTGGTGACTTGTATGTCCCCAACCAGCATCGCCGCCCATCGTTCGATCCATTGTCCCCACGAAGCCGGCGCAGCGGTACATCCACACACGCACAGCGGCAGGGTCTCCACATTTCTTTCATTGCAGACGGTGACCAATTAATTGACCGCACTGCTGAGAAATGCCATGGACAATTGTCGATGTCGATGTCGTTGGTCGGGCGTGTTGGCCCGAGATTGGATCTGTGTGGATGCAGCATCGTCGACGACCATACTTTGCACGCATCATCAAGCGGCCTTGTCCTTTGCCCCGCGCTCCATGACAAGCAGCAGCCTAGGTTCCAGCGCTGATGCGAATGGTAGAAAGGAAGCTTGAGTATACGCGCGCGCGGTGGGCGCCAGCTTCTCGCGTCCGTGCGCGACTTGCAAGGGGATCGGCCCATGCAATGAGGAAGGACAAGGGAAACTTCTTGTCGGCGCTTTCCGCGTGCGCGGCCGCGGGAGAAGAAAAGCCACACGCGGCGGCGGCGACGGGGGCGGGGGCGGCAGCAGCGGTGCATGCATGCATGCGCTGCAGTGACTGATTCTGCCGTCGCTTTTCCATCCATCCATGCAGTCAAGATCGAGCCTTGACGAGTGAGTGGCTGCTTTGTCCCGTTTGCTACGAGAGAATGAATTCAACGTGAACTTACTCAACAAGACAAAGGGCTCCCCACGCCTCACCTCACTCACGACTCTGTAGTCCGGCTGGCGCGCGCCTCCGACGCCAGTGCGAACACCTGCCACATTTCCGCACTCTGACTGGCGCAAAGCCGCGCACAGCCCCTTGTCCTCCTGCGTGCTGCTTGTAGCCAGCCAGTCACGAGTGCATTTGCCGCATCGACGACATGAGACTCACTGCATAGCACCCAGAATGTAGCGGATGCAGTCAGTCCCAGAACGCGGTCAAGTGTGATCGAAGCCGCGCTCGGGTCTGCTGCTGCTTCACATTCGGTGCCTAAACAGCGCCGACAGTTGAGTCAAAGTCAACATGTATAGCATGTGCTAGGAAACCACGTGACCTGTGCCTGCCATGCCGCGCAAGCGTCAACGCTTCGTGGGTCGGATGCTTGCGGCGCGCATCCTCTCGATCCCCCAGCCCGCCATGCTCCCGCCGACGCCATTCACCTAGCATTCCCTGCTGCGATCCAAGGTGATACATCCTTTGACGTACCTGCTATGCGCACTCCCCTCGCGCGCAGCGACAGAAAATAAAACCAGCCCAACGAGCGAATTTCGCCAGATGATGGGGGGCTTCGTGCGATTCGTGAAGCTTCCTTCCTTTCGCCGATTTCGATGAGCCAACCTTTCCCTCTGCAAGAATCCATCCGGCCTCGTGTGGGAGAGGTTCGGAAGTTTGTGTGCAAGTGGGGCGTGGCGGAAGCCTTGGGGAAAGGGGCCAGGGGAAAGGTCCAAGCTAGTCCAACTTGACTACGAAATCAAGTCTTGCGTGAGAGTAGAGTGCGTCATGATTACGAAGAAGCTGCGCAGCGTGTCTGCGCCTCGTTGATTAAATGTTTGAATCGCCTCACTCCTTCTTTACATGACCTTTACTCTCCTCCTTTCGCGACTCGTCCCATTCAAGAAGAAGTTTGTAGGCACAAGTAGACAGCCTGCGCATCCTCTCATCGAATTGGCAGCAGCAGCGACCTCGAATGCAAATCTCTAGTGCTGGCGCATGAATGATGGTGGTATGTCAACGACTTGACCGCCAAAGAATCTCATCTTGGTCCCCTGTCTGCAGACTTGTAGGTCGACGTTGTGATGAAAGTGATTTCGATTGCATTCACATTGCCGACGCGTGACTTGAAAGGCAAGCTGAGATGCGATCAGACGATCAAACCTCGCGCGTCGCTTTCGCAATCACATGGCGCAGTTGCGCCCTTTGAATCCTTGGCCACGTTGTGATTCGTGATTGCGAATAATAATCGAGGGATTGAGATTATAGCAGCAGTGACGTCAATTGCGACAAGGTCATCAATCCATGTTCCATCGCAACGCCATGCGTCCGGAGCGTCTGCGCGCGAAGAAATGAGTCAAGAGTGTGGACATGATGGAAGGAGTGAATCGTGAGTGCACTCGAGTAGATGATGCATCGATAAACCAAGGAACGAGAAATGAAACGCTCTCATCAGCATGCAGAATCGTGAATGTGAATGCAAGCTCATGCCCGCCGTTGCTGAGAGACGCTCACCCGCGGCTAGCTGTGTGAATTAGCCACGCATGTGGAGGCGCCTTCGCAAATCCCAACACATCAATCACGTTCGCCGTGCATCCGCCAAATCGCGGCACGCCGGTGTGCAACGATAAACGATCAGACTGTATCCGCTTGCATCATCATTCCTCTCACATCAATCCCATTCCTCCCCACGTCTAGTCCATCCGTCAACACGATCACGATGGTGGATGCTCCTTCCACACCCACGCTAGCTGCCGAGCAGCAGCAGCAGACATCCCGAAAGAAAGCTGCAACGAGTCAAGCGATGTTGAGGTTGATGAGGGACAACGAAGCAGCTTTGAAAGCCTTGCTAGTGCACAGCGGCAAAGTGTTGCGTATCAGATCGGACACGTCGATGAGCTTGCAGAACAGCAAACAGATGCAAACATCAGCTCCGCTCGAAGCGATGATCGTCGATTCCCAAAATGCAATGTTTGCAGAGGAGCAAGCGGAAGCAAAGACTGCCAGCACCTCCCGCTCCACTGATGCGGTGATGCAGGAGCTCTTGAAGAGTGTCAAGGAGGATGTTGCATCGACACCTGGAATGGTAGAGGTGCTACACAATGCAGAATCGCTGGGCAGAGGCTGCAATGCTCTTGCTGCGTGGCTGGTGAGTGGCTCGTTGGAGTGCGAATCTGATTGGGCCATCACGCAGTCGCTTAGCTGTGGCTGGATCAAACAAGATCAAGCCCATGCATGTTTGGTTTGCAGTTCGTATGCGACCAATTGCTCTCGTTTCGCATACTCGCTCACACCTTTTCCGCATTCTGCAAAGTCTTATGCCCAGACGTTGCTGCTCTCCGAGCTAGCTCGAGCGCAGGTAAGAGAAGCGCAAGAGGCGCTCGAACAGGCAAGAGCGGCTGAAACAGCTCGACTGGAGCAAGTCGCAGCGGCTGAGGAAGCCGCAAAAATGGCAGCAGAAGAGAGGCAGCGAAATGAAAAGGATGCAGCGGACAAGATGGCGAAAGATGCGAGTACAGCAGCTGCAGGAGACACCGTGGCTATCGAGTCACGCAAAGGAGATTCTGCCACTGAAATGCACAACGACGATGAGGACGACGACGATGATGTCCCCCTAGCAGCAGCGAGCAAAGCCGCTCTGACAGGAGCTACAAGAGCCCCGACGATCGACATGAACCCTGAGCAGCCTATCGATCTCACTTTGAGCCCGTCAGGGTCGCCAGAGATTTCGAAAGCGGAAGCGAGCTCCACCGCCAATGTACCGACATCATCAGCAGTAGCGCCGAGCGGCACGGATCCTGCTTCACTCCTGGCGTCTCTGACAGGCATAGCTGCAAATCCAGCCTTCGCTTCATTGTCGGAGACGGCCGACTCGTCAGGTCCAAGCACATCGCTGCCTCTGCCCACTTCAGACGCCAACGAAGCAAGCTCAGACTTCAATCTGTGGGACATGGACCTGTCCAGCCTGGATATGACTCAATTGTCAAGACTGGCAGCAGGGTCTCCCGGAAAGGGATTGACCGTTGCAAACGAGTCGGGATTGGACCTGTCCAAGCTTGACGCTCCCACCGATCCGCCCAACAAGGGCAATCTGCCACCGGACACGACCGCTGCAGGTTCAGACGCAAGCGCAAGCAACGCCATGTCTACAGACTTCTCCTTTTTGGGAAACATAGCTCCCGACTCGGCTGGATCCATGGGCGCTTTCGACAATGGTACTTTTGACATGGGTGATGGTACGGGGATGGGCATGGACCTCAGCAACCTTGACTTTGACTTTGGAGAGTTTCAAAAGCAGTTTGATAGCACCAATGAAGGCGGTGCGGAGGATGGAGGCTAGCTGGTGGCCATAGCAGCAGTGCAATGGACAGGTCCCATCATTCTCGCGCATCAACCTGCTTACGGTACTGCAACGACCATTCCCAGGTACGTACGCCGGCTCATCAATGTCAAGCTTCAACGATCCAATCGGCTCATTCGCTTCGTGTGTACGCCTTCACATCATTGCCAATCTTTTCGACTACAGACGCGCGAATCACATCATTTGACACAATGTCGAGGAGGCAGGCAAAGTGGGGTGGCGTGCGTGCTTGCGACGGTAGCAACGCGCCTCAATCCTTGTCCGTGTGCCTGAAAGCCAGATCAAACTCAGTCTTTACCAGGCCAATCTCGGGGCAGAACAAGACGCAGCCGAACAGACCACCGACCGTCAGCCCAGCGCCTAGCTTGGTCGCCTTGGGGTGACGGTCGTAGAAGCGGAGCGCTGGATTGACTGTTCGGTTCTTGAGACGCACCAATCGGCCTCTCCAGCTTCTTGGGCTGCCCGGTGGTTCATCTGCAGCAGCCTGCCTAGCTCCTTGCGCTTCCAAAAGCTCTGGCGTGGCAGTCGGATGTGAGTGCGTCGTATGACCAGGCGCCGCTGTTGGATGATGCCCCGCACTTTGGTGATCCAGATGGAAGCTTCGTACAGCGCCAGTATTGCTCAAGGACGTTGAGCGTGTGGACGCCTCCATCGGCAGGTTCTCGAATCGTTGGGGCGAAATTAGGCCATGTAAAGTGGCACGGGCACGGGATGCTGCTGCTGCTACATCACCATGCGAGGAAGCTGGCGGCGGACTCGATGGTGTGTGGTCGCTGGTCCTGCGGTGTAGCTCGCTGCGCTTCCAGTAGCTTTCAGTAGTCTGACGTCTTGCAATCGATGTACGTTGCAAGGCCTGCTCCAGCGATTCATAACGCCCAGGGACTGTGGACAAAAAGTGTCGTTGGCCTAGCGGTACATCGACGTCTCTCCCAAAAAGCGTATAAGGTGGAGTGCCATCACTGTCTGTACGGTCATAAAGAGCAGCTGTGCGGCCTTCCGTGTCTCGCTTAGCGTGATGCTCAGTGTGGTTCTGCTTTCTAGGCGGTGTATCGGTATGCTTCAGGTCGCAGCCGGCGAGCTCGCAGGCCACAAGGAAGGTTGCCGCAATAGGTGCAGCGGTCCCAAAGATGGGATGCTCCTTCCAGTAGGCATGTATGGCTTTTGCGACAGTGACAAAGGGTCGAACTGCCGACTTGCCCGCTTTGACAGCTTTTGCAGTCCTTGTGACATCGGCTTTTGGCAGGTTGTGAGCGACATTGCCGTTGCTGGGACCCGCTTCTCCTGATCGTCGCACAATATCGCCAATCACGGCAGTCGAAAGCTCACTTCTGCGAGCGTGCGGTAGGTGCTTGACCTGAGCCGGAGTCGGAGGTGGAACCGGCAGCGGGGACAGGGTAGGATCGGGTTTGCCGTGCTTGAAATCGCAATGGAAGTAGCCGCATCCCAAGAATATGCCGAAGGGCAAGAAGGTGGCAGTCATGACGAAAGGATAGTTCTTGAGGCCGCCCGCCAGACCTTTGGCGCTGTTTCGCGTCATCTTTGCCGAATACTGCATCATGTCGTGCGGAGCGTTGTGGACCTTTCTCAGCGCCCCTACAGCCGTGGCTCCAATCGTGGAACCAGCTCGCTTCCTTTCCACCTTTTCCGCGCTAGACGTTGCGGCAAGACGTTCAATTTCTTCCTCAGCACCGTCGCGGCGCTTAATGTGAGGGAGCCAGTCGAGCTTGTAAGGCTGGTGTCTTGACGTGTTCACCGACGGCGTGCTCGTGCGATGCTCCTCTGCGAGAGCACGTCGCAGATTTCTGAAGAGCAGCGTGTCTGCGCTGTGTTTGACCTCACCCCACCCACGTTGGACATTGCCATTCGGCTGATTGTCTTTTGTTCTGAGTGTGGGTGCACTCTGGGCTGTGCCAAAGAGGAGGCACACAGCGAACAAGGCTTGGCCAAGCATCTTGCCTGCGATGATCGCTGGCCAGAGAGAAGAAGGGACGCTAGATGCTTGCTGCTTTGAATATCTGCCTTCTCAAATTAGCGTCAGCCGAGAACAGGAAACGCAATGGGACACACGAGGGCCGACTAAAGGACTATGGTGATGCGCCTTTGTACGCTTGGGCGGCAGCCGGCTCAGCATCGTGAGAGGCGCACAGAGACGAGCCATGATCTTCACTTTCGCCACCAAAAGGCTACATGGCTCTGCAGCTTATCAGGTCCGCTTCGACTTCCTTGCTGGCGTGTTTTGTTGGTGTCGAGCAGCAGCAACAAGCTGCGTGCTTGTGGTGTGGTGTATCATTTGCCACCATGACAGGAGAGCCGCTGTGCGTGTCCTCGTATCGCCAACCGTACCCGTAGCAGTATGATATGCCTTGTGACACGGGGCCGTTCAGCCATCGCGCATGAGGTGATTCTCGTGAGGCATTCATCCATCGCTGTCAATCAGCGCAGCCATCGACTGTCACGATGACGGTCGCTGCTGCTCCCCAGGCTGCGCCGATCAGAGAGCGCCCGCACAACGAAGTTCGCGTTTCTGGCGCTCTTGATCACATGACTCATTTGGATGCGCAGCTCTGCAATCACCAACACCAATTTAGCTGCTGCAATCAATCCTTTGCTGGTGTGCGTCGCCTGCAGAAGACCACCAGCGGAGGAGAAGAGGAAGAGCGCAGCTGTAAGCGTTGCGAGCTCATCCACAGAGATTGTGCGACGAGCGGACTCCATGCTGCGTCGGAACGACCACGGCAGTACATCACGTCTACCTCTTCGGTCATTGCTTTACGCCATAGCGCCATGGCCTCTGATAGCGTTGTTCGACGTTCACACCTACAGGGCAAGCGCACGGCTGAAGTTAAGGCTGACGCATCCCTATCCGTTCTTTTCCGCCAATGAATAGCCCAAGCCGTACCATCAGGCTGAGCGCACTTGGCCCTCTCTGGTGATAGCCTTGCCTGAGCGCGTCGATGGTGGCTAGCTGATCCGTCTTTCCCTCTTCTTCCCGCCGGCAGACGTGCGTTCGCAAAGCGCTCGATTGGCCTGAGAGCGCGGCTGCAAGGCCATGTCTGTGTGACGAGGCAAGATCAAGCAAGGTGCCAGATGCTGCAAACCGGGGTGCACACGATTTACTTCGTCTGTGGGGCGCCCCACGCAGTGCATGTCTCGAACATTCTTGCCTTGCATTAATGCCTGCCTACAGGACTGCTCGTCAGAACGAGAGGATACCTTATCTGTTTGTCGCCGGAGTGTCGTTGTTGTCCATGTAGTGGCGGTTATGGTGCCCGCGTCTCACAACACTGTTTGTGTTCACTTTGTGCACCTTGTCGTTGAGGCCGTGCACTTTCGGCTCCCTATCACTTGTCCGAGCCGGCCCAAGCGATAACAGCCATCTAGCAGCCTAGCATCTGGCCTTGGAGCGCTTCAATAGCATCTTTGAGGATGTCAGCCCGCCCTCAACTTGTCTCCTCATCCGTCCTGCCGTACCCCTCCCTGACTGCTGCAAACCAATCGCGGGCTCCTTCTGGCTGCGGCGCCTTCGATGGTGCACATCCGCCAGATCAGACACGGCGCGTGAGACTGCAAGTATATCAGCCTTGGATTGGGAAAAGGGCACGGCTTGCACAGTTTTACGCCTGACTCGCGATGAGGCGCAACCGGTCTTGCGGGGCTTTACATCCAGGTTTCATGAACAAAAGCGCATGGCGTAGTAGCGCGTTGCAAAATCGCACTCGTCACCAATTGTGACTTCCCCCACGCCTTCGCCGACGAGACATGTCTGCTGAGCGAACAGCCAAATGGAAACGCTTCATCGTGGCGAAACTTGGGCAAAGGCGTGCTGGCGTAGGGAGGCTAATGCGCATGATTGATCGCTTTCGTGATCGTGGAGAGACGGGCGTAAGCTAGCGCAGCGCGGGATGCGACGAAACACTCCTCCACTCCTCCACTATGCTTCCGCTCACCTTTGGCGACGCCGCTCACGTCGTCGGAACTTTTCTCGTAATTGTGATCCCGTGGCGTAGATCTCAGCCACACGGCTACTCAGCTTAGACGAGCTCATACACAAATGTCGCACGCTTGAGCTACCTATTGACGGTGACGAGACAATCACGATGGGCATCCAGCTGGGTCTGAAAGACCCCTACGTCCACGCGCCACGAGTCCCGCATCGTCTCGAAAACGAGTCAGCAGCAGTGACCAGCAGAGCCTCCTCTGGCTTGTGGCGCCTGAGGTAGTCGATCTTCGACATGGACTGGGAAAGAGGCTGGCCATGGGCGTAGATCCTCCTCAAGCCCCGGTGCGAGCTGAATTGTTGTGGGGATACCAATTCTGTGAACGACCGAGAGCCTGTCGTCGCTCCCCGCCTTCTCTCCTCACAACATACATCTCTATAGAAAGTCGTCAAGCTCGAACAGCGTCGCTCCAGTCATCGTGGCCGTGCACAAATTTTGGGGAGGCGTCTGGGCAACACATTGCGACATGAGGACGCTAGCGTGCTCCCTCGTTGCTTGCATCTTCTTTGCCCTTCTGGTTCTATCCCAGGCAGGACCGCTCTCATCAGAAAGTGAGTCAAGTCTGACGGTGAAGCCAGTCCGTGTCCGTACTAAATGAGCCGTGTTTTCGACGGAGCAGTGCGCAGCGCCAACGCTGTTTGGTATGGAGCTACCTCAGCTCGCGACGCCCAGGTCTCGACCCAACGCCGTCCACTGTCGCCCAGGAAGGAGGTGCAGGGCGGCTCAAGCAGCCTAGGCTGGCCTTTGAGATTGGAAAGTCTTCGACTCAAAGGCCTCGAGCGCTTTGAGCTTTACAGCGATGCTAGTTCTACCAGAACGTCGTTCAGTGACGGAGAGGAGAGCAGCGTCCCAAAGTCGATCAAGGGCATTGTCTGGCAGTCGAAAGAGTCTACACCACCGCTAGGAAGGACCGAGTTCGCCAAGGTGCTGCGGGAGCCTGAAATGGACCCTGCATCTAGATGGCCGGCAAGCAAATGGCGCATCAGCAAGCTACAAGGCTACAAACCCGTGCGTTGCCCACGAGCGCTCGCAACTCCGGAGCGTGCGATAGCTCACACTGGCGATTGCGGCACCAAAGCAGTGAAAGTATCCATGACTCTTTACGTGTAGCATTCGAGATTGCGACATTTACGGGTGTACGAAGTGGATCATCTCATCCTTGAACGCGGCCAGTACGGCCTTCAGTTCCCTGCGTCTCATCTCCTCCCTGTACACTATCTCGTCGATGGTGTGGCGTCCATTCATATACGGTAAAAGTCTGCGAAGCGAAACGTGCCGTGGCAATTCCATGCAGTCAACACGGATGAACCGCTGCGCAGTGAGTGATCGTCTGCTGTACACTCACTTTCGGAACCATTCGACGATCCACTCTTCTTGCTGACGATTTAGCATGCTCTCAATCCATTCGTTCTCCTCGGCACTTGCTCTACCAGGCTCAGGTATGATGCTAGGCATAGGATCAATTTCCCACTGTTCGAGGTCCAGCGAGTATTGGGACTCGCTTACTTCGCTCTCGAGACTGTCGTTGGCTTCAGAGCCCCTTGGAGAAGAGCGGTCATGATCTCCCTCGTGCCGTGAAGTCCCTTGATCAGGTGCCACGGAGTCCAGCTGCTCTCGTGAAGTCGCCACAGAAGGCTCGACCGTCGAGCACCCGCCGTTATTGCGCTCAAGAGCTGGTGAGTCTCGCGTGGAAGCTTCTTCTCCAACTAAGCTCAATCTACGAGCTTCGTCACCAGCTCGATTCAGATATTGAAACGGGACCTGCAAGGGCCCGTCACCCTTTCCGCCTGATTTCTGCATAGATGCACCAGCCTCTTGTGAGCCGCCTGAATCGTCGATCTGAACCTCTTCATCTTGACCGAATCCCGTGATACGCATGCGAGCGCGACTTGGCGATCGAGACGCTATGCGCGTAGCATTGTCCACGTTGCCCAGACTCGACGAGCTGTTTGGTGTAAAAGCATCCGAGTGAAGATGTTCCTGACGAATGCTGAGCGCTCGGCCTCTGGGTGTGTTTGGACGCGACGTGTTTGCAACCGTCTTCATTGCGGGCACAGCGGACGAGCTTGCTTCGCTGCTGAAGCTGAGTTGTGTGCGAACATCGTCTCCAACCAAGCCGATCGCTCGCGATGGACTTCTTGAGCGGGGAATGCGTCGTCGCTCGAATCTTAGCTCATCAATATAGCGCGCGGAGGCAGTGGAAGATTCCTTGAGAGCTGAAAAACTCGTCAATGGAGAGAGAGAAGTTGTTCGCGAGCTCTCCACTCGGCTTGAGACCGAACCTGTTCTACCTTTTGGCTGCACTGTGACGTCTTCTCCTGTCGGCTGGGTGTTATTGGTAGGTTCAGGGTCGGCTTGGACCCCATCGCCTCGATGGTAAGCGTTGCCTCTTGCAAGTACCTGTGCCATCCCACTCTGAACGGGAGCGCCGCCAACTGGAGCCGCTGCCTCGTGAAAGCTATTGACACCAGTGAGAAACGTCACGTCGGAAGCTTGAGTGTTCTCGCGAGCCCGTTGGAAGCCCTTCTGCTGCCGTTTCGTCGCCCTAGCATGGCGCAACGCAGCTCGTCGTCGCGCTGCATCGCGCTTGATCTCCTCCGTCGCTACCAGCCTCAATCTTGCGTGCATCTGCACAATGACATCGTGTCTCAGGAGCCAGACGAGAGCGTCGAAAGCGGTCTGACGCTGGTTGCGGCCAAAGTTGACGGCAAATGGCCTCAGAGAGGCAGAGAAAGTGGAAAGAAATGCGGGCAAGGAAGGCTCATTGGGGAAAGCGCGGTGCCACGACGTCGATAAACGTGGCAGGCTATGTATCGAGAGTGTCGCAAAACAAACATGAGCAGTGGTACAGGTCAAGCACCACCATGGATTGAAGGGGGCATCGACTCACTTGCGAAGGTAAAAGAGTGGCGAGATGGCGTACATGCTGTGGATGCGTGGCACATCCACCACTCGCGCATCGCGGTAGTAGATCAAGTGTCTCACCATCGGAAAGACGTCGTCGTACAAATCCCATGCGAGCAAGTCTGCCAGTTCGCCAAAGCTGAACGTCGAAAAGACCGAGATACTATCAGCGCACCGATGCCCCTTTTCTCGCAATTCGTGTGCACGTACCATCGACTTACGTGGGCACCCCTGCAAGGGTAGGCTTGAGGTACGCGGTGAAGCGCTTCGCCCATCCTTCAATACCGTCGCCCCTCATGACAGGCGAGTCGCTCTCATCATCACTGCTCGCTGGGTCCCGACCGAGGCCAGCAGATTCTGACAAAAGTAGAGTTTTCCACGGTAGCAACAGTGGGCCAGTGGCCCTGCTGGCTTCGTCCCACGCGTCACCACTTCCACCCCACCTGCCACCTGCTCCAGCTGCTAGCAGGTGATCGTTAGGATCCAAACAGGTCTCCACTTCGCGAAGGCGGCTAAGTTTAGCTCCATGAGAGCGTAGAAGAGGGGGGAGTTGAAGATGAGCTTCTATGTTGTCATTAATCGAGACGAAAGCATTTTCTCCTCGGGACAATGAAGTGTAGAGCGACCGAAGCAGGCGAGCGAGGGACGACGAACGTAGCGCTGAAGAGACGTAGGAGTTGAAGGTGTCACCTGTGGAGTTTCGCAAGGAAGTTGCGGTCAGCATGACGATGCGACTCACTCCCATGGATGCACGGTCTCAATGAAGCGGCTGCACGCCCTCTAGATCAGAGCTCGGGTCCGTAGCGAATGCGAATACGGGAGTCGGAAAGCCCGAATAGATGAACTGCAATGCGGACTCACCACGATCTCTGCATGTCTCTCTCAAGCTCAACAGGTGCTCGCTCTCGCTTGCTACATAGCCGCATCTGACTTGTTCAGCCCAAAGAGCTGCTGTCAATTTGAAGCAAACGGCGTCGTGAAACATTGCCGACCAAGTTGACGTGTCTAGCTGCGGCATATCTGCAGAAGGATCAGGACGATCTAGCACCAGCACAAGGTGGAAGGCTGTGATGCCGCTTCGATGCTGGCCGCTTGAAACCGCGTTGGAGTTGAGTTGAGAGCTCAAAGTGGATGCTGCATCTCTTCCTCGCTTCGAATCCGATGGCAGGCGCGACTCGCTACCAGCGTCCTCTGAAGTTTGAACGTGCTCCTCAGAGGCTACCTCACGAGCGGCGCCTTCCGCCGTCAGCATGTTCTCCTCAGCGCGAGGCGCACGCCCTCGGACAGGGCTGTGGGATTGACGCCGAGGTTGTCCTGCTGGCCTTTGAATCGCATCGTCCGGCACGTCCCCCCAATTTGCGCTTGCGTCAGCGCACACAGGATGACCGACGAAGGCGACATCGTCCACTGTGAGCTCGAAACGAGCATGGCAAGCGTCTCTATGCGGTGAGAGCAGCGAGGCGAGGAAGGCCTCTTGATAGCCCAAGTAAGTAGTGTATGCCCTCGCTTGGCGCTTGGCGCGCTGGACAGCCCGATCTTCCGCCCGCTCTTGGGAGCTCGCGGCAGAGGCGGGGTCTAAGACGTCTCTCAGCGGTCCCGATGCTCCCCCACGACCACGAGCGCGGGAGCTGGAACGAGCGGGGCCTTGGCGTGGTGACGAGGATGGTGCAGGTATGGCAGACGAAGAGGGCACCCTTCTTCTAGTCCTGCTATCCCTTGCAGAACCACGTGCAGCAGCACCCAGGCCATCGACGCTGGCACTGTCCGAGTCGGCATCCACAGCAGACTCTGCTCCAAGACCATCATGCGGCTCTTTTGCTCTGTTAGCGACTGTTGCATTCTCAGCGCCTGTGCTCGAGGTCCTCGAGCGCAGAGATGGCAGCCACTCTTCCGAGTCGAAGGATATGTCACCATCGCTGTGGCCTTGACTGTCCATCGCTGAGCTGCTGGCACTAGTATCGCTAGCGCTTCCAGCCTCCTCTCTCATCGCCTTTTCCCTGGCATCCTCGCGTTGCTGAGCGGAGCGGGAGTCTGTCGAAGATAGTGTGCCTCTCACATCACCTGCGCCGCGTTGCTTTCTTCCCTCTTCGCCTTGGCCTGCCCTGCCTCTGGACGTGCTGCTCGATACTGGTTTCCTCAGAGCGGCAGCTTGAGCATCTGGGCGCTGCTGGCGATCCGGCAGATCTTCCGACGCTTGACCAGCATCGTCATTCGTCCTATAGTATCGGACCTGAGAATGGCGTTTCGACAGCGACGGGTTTGGCGGCCAGCGAAAGACGAGGCTCGAGCCTCGGCTGGATTCTACTGTAAGAAGGACAGCGAGGACGAGTGAAGGATTGGCGGGGTGCGAAGGGCTAGTGCGCCTCACCATCCTCGAAGCGCTGGGTTGCTTGCACTGCGATGGTCAGTCCAGAAAGCCAAAATCATGACGATGGCCACGTTCTGTTTGCCGGCGGTGATGGGGATGGGGTCGCTGAGAGTCAAGCTGTGCAGTCTCGAATGATCTCAGTTCAAAGTGGGACTTTCAGGGCACACGCGCGCATCAACCGTTGCACCTCTTGCCTTGACTTGGCAGCCTCTTGAATCACGTGTTTTAGCGCTTTTCATGCCTTGCTCCCGCGGCTTTGGCGTTCACTCTTGGCGCTTGACCCTGTCATGATCCTGCGACCGAGCGCAAAGAGATTCTCAAACACCACGCGTCCTACCGCTCGCATCACCCCAAGCATGACTGTCGCCACTCACACTTGAACATTCGTGGTTCGCGATCTACAAACTTCAACTTGCCTGTCTCAGGCTCTCGCGCAGCATGGGCAATCATCACAGTCGTTTCCGCCTTAATCAGCGAAGCGCTGGCCGCAGCTGGCCTAGCTGACATGCCTTGTTGTTGCAAGGTGGCGATTGACGTGGACGCTCACCCGCGGCCAGCCACATCGTAGGACAAGGCGCTGCGCCGACATCATTGCATGAGGCAATCGTGAATCAAGAATGACCCTTTAATTGAAACCTATCGACTTGCAAATTCGCAATGCCTCGAACTCGCCGCCGTTCGCCCAAAGACGGCTTCTGGACGCAAACGTCGATTGGAATGACCCGCGGACGACTATACAACTCACATCTCGGCTCCTGATTGACGTCTTTTGCGATTCCAACCCAGTCAGAGGAAGGGGACACTTGGAGAGCAGGGCAAAGGAAGTCGTGTCCCTTGCACAAGCAGCGCCCGATCATCCCACCGATTACGAATTCCAATTTGCATCAATCAAGGGCCTTCCGCGGAAGCCAATTCATCCAAAACTCGTCAGCTTGGCAAAAAGAAATCTGAATTCCTAGACTCGCAAACCTTGATGCTTGCCTCGACCATCGATCGAGCGGAAAGGACTCAAATGCAAGTGCTCCTCACCACTACTGGACAGCTATGTACACCCAGCATTCGAACTAGAGCGCGTCATCGTAGTGAGCCACTGCTTTCGCATTTTTCATAACGACTTCACCGAGGGCATCGTTTGTTCATCAGACACCAATCAGTGAATGTTCACCGCTGAAGCCCAGCTTCCACTGGCGCTCGATTGGACGCAAAGCCACCATCACGTTCCAGATACGCCATTGTGATTCACATTCGCATCGAGCACGTGTGTTTTTTCCTGCATGAGGATCATCCCTGCTGCGCTCAAGCGATCGGTCAAGATTTGCGCAGAGACGACATGACGTATGCTGCTAGCCCGGCCTCGTAGGTTTTGCACGTCTCGGCGCAGCTGCAGCTTTCCTACTTGAACAGGCGAAACATATATGGCAAATCTTCCAGGTGGACTCGAGACTTGACTGCAATTAGTCAAGGCATCGTCAGCAGCGGCGCATCAGTATGCGCCATTTACGGTGAACAGCCTAGATTTGTGCTTCGTTAGATCACATTCGAGATTCGTGATTGATGTTCACCATCCAACATTCAACACGCGATTGCCTCGGGTGGAGCCGCTTGGAAACGGCAAGTTCTTAATGCTGGCTGGCATCACCAGAAGCGCTTGCAGTCACGAGCGCCGAACCTCAACACCTGCGTTGACAGTAAAGCGACGAGAAGAGCGAGACTCAAATTAGGCGAGCGTCGAGGCTGAACCTGCCATCGGCCGGCGCAGACGCGCTGCACGCTCGGCGAATCCTCCTCGATCCCTGCCTCAACCACGCTTGCAAGCGACCAATGATGGCATCGAGTCAAATGGCAAAGTGATGCAGGCATGCAAGGGGTGAGACCATTTACGAAGAGGACCTGCAATCAAACACCAAACTTCACTCAGACTCTTGGTGCCTCTTTTCCACCTCTACTCGCAAATTAAAGGACACCTGCAAGCCTTGCCATTCAGGCCCGCTCGAAGCGCAAATGCTGCTCCGACAATCAAATGAGCTGCGCAGAATTGCGTTGGACACGAGGTGCTAATTGATCCATCAATCTCACCTTGCCAGCGCAACTTTTCGCCTGCGTCCCCCTGAGATCGATGTTTGTCTCCGCTCGCAGATCATGATAGAATGAATGACTAGGGTCAAGCCGAGTATTTCTTCAAGCTGCGCTCGACTTGCACGCTCGACAGAAGCGCTGAATGACCATGAGCACTACACTTGGCATCATCAGCCCACGGGACCCTGTAGAGAAAATGAAGAGTCAAAGTGAAGCAAGTCAACCTCGGCTAAACATCAACAACAATCTCTTCTGCGACGAATGCATCATCAATCCTCTTGTGTGCTGAGCTGGCAGGCACCACCATGTCGCAGTCCAACGCAGCGTCGCAGCATCGAGCCGAATGCAGAGGATGGATTCTTCGGCCTTTTTCAGCAGGGGGCAAGTAGCATCTAAATACAGCAGACCCTTCGAGGCGATCACAAGCTTTGGCTCTATAGATGCCGTGCCGCATTGTGAGTTTACAAGGTGCCGCCAAATCAAACAGGGATCAAGCATGATCCTTCACTTTGTTGCAGGGACGTGACTGAAGTCGTGCAGCCAAGGAGCTTACAGCTCTGCGCATGTTGTCCATCCCATACACTTCCGGCCTTGCGTGTTCTTAGGGCAGATCCTTTGAGCCATCCATTACTCCCCTTCAACTCCACGCGGCCCGGCCGTTGTGGAGGATTGAGAATTGCCACCGTTGATGGATCAGCGCATGAAATCACCGTGAATCACAGTCTCGACTGCTCGTGGACCAAAACCGAATGCACTTGATCGATGATGATGACGCGATCGAAAGGTGGCGCGGCTGCCGTACAACTGCATTCATGATTCAGCACCGCCCAGACGCAGGAACACGTCGGGCAGAGCGATGCTTTCTCACGAACGCGGAGGTGCAAGCGCTCGGTGTCGTCATTCAGCCCATACCTGCCTGCCTGCCTGCAAATCTGAACAATCGTCAACCAAGAACGCTGCCTGCTGCGAGGCTCCCAGAGCTGTGACTGACTACCTTGTCTTGCCTTTTCGGGAGCTCAGGAATGCCATCAACATGCGCAAGGCTTCCAAGGATGACGTCTACATAACATAAGAATGCGCGCGGCACCAGCAGGAGCAAATCACCTTTATGATTCTCATTGGCCACTCTGGCTGCGCAAGGCTCCAGGTGCAGGGCAAAGGGTGGCGCACAGATTAGATGCCGTGCCAGTATATACAGTCGCAAGTGCGGAGCGGGACGTGCCTGATTGGCCGCTCGGAAAGGAGCAACGTCTTCGAATCGCGCTTTCGGCACAAGACATTCATTCCACGTCTGCGCGGCCAACAAAGCTGGGCAGCACCTTTCGCTGCGGGCAGGCGATCGACCACGCTAGCAACGATTCAGGCAAAAGGGGACACGGGTGGCAAAGGATGTAGGGATGACATGCGCTCCAGTACCACGCTGGCGCCAGATACACTCAATCATCCACACTCAGCAGCGGGCACAACAACACTCACGACTCTTGAGCATGCTCGATTTGTGCGCGCTATATTGATGGGCAGATGCACAGAGTGAAGGAAACAGTTTGGCTTCTGGGCCATTCACTATTGGTGCGTGCATGCTTGCCGCTTAATCGCGCGTCACGCCAAGAAGGCCTCGAGCAGCACATACAGGGAGTGATGGGCAGGGAGCAATCATGCATCGTGATTCCTACCAATCAAATGAGACCATCAGACGCCAAACGGGATCAAAGTGGCTCGGAATGTGGTACGCCGCCACGCAAGCATCTCGACGCTGTGCTCAACGCGGTCACGAGTATGACCAGCCGCGGCATCAGCTACGCACTTGCGGGTCGCATATGGGTCGAGGCAGCAGAGGGCGCGGATGCAAAGACAAAGAAAGCCCTCACAGCTCAGAGCCGCGTTTTGGTGTTTGCAATGAAGAACGCGGCAGCAGTGTGAAGCGCCCACAACCACTTAAGTGCCACGGAGGCGCAATCTCTCACACAGGCCTCTTCCATCTCCGTGATACGCATCAACTCGAGCTCCAGCCAGCCAGCGATGCTGCTGACGATGACCGTGGAAAGCCTTCATCAAGAAAGTCGTGAGTGGGAGTGGTCTGGCCTCGAGGCCGCTTCAAGAGCAACGGAAGCTTTAGTCTCTTGATGCGTTTGTGATTCAGGAGAGTTTGAGCGCCGCAGTGCGCCATCCCTTGCGGCTGCCTCTCCTCCATAAACCAAATCCCTCGTGCACTTCGCCTCCCTCCCACTTCCTCCTCCCCTTTTGGTGCCCCTTCTCGACACTCATCTGTTC